GCAAAAATCTGGGGGGGGGGGGCTTAAAAAAATTAAGACACTGTACTGTAATTATTTTTAGAGAGTGAAATGCTATAGAAATAGGGAGAACGATCCTAAGTGTAGGGAACATCTTAGAGTACTTCAATCCATTAAGTTCCCTGATGCAAACAGCTCAACAGGGCATAAATGTGAGAGATATTCCTTCCCCCTCCAAATCATTTTATTAAGAATTGTAAATGAAAAGAATAAAAGCCAATACAGGCTACAAAAAATACAAACAGAAAAATACAGGAGAAAAGAAAGTGTGTAAAAGAAAAAAAAATAGAGAAAGAAATAAGGAATAAGTAACTTCTCCCTTCATCCCAGCAACTAAAGACAATCTTAATAGCTTATCATTATCTCTAAATACAACATAATCTCTCTTTCTCCCATACCTCATTTATTGAATTAAAAAAAAAAAATCCAAAAGCATCAGTCGTTCTTTATCAGCAAAAGTTCACTAAGGGCAACCAGGTGTAACTTTTTTTTTGTCCTTTAGCCCTGGTCAAATACACCAACCTTGTATTCCTTCCCTGAGTTTTTAAAATATATTTTAACCCCTTCAGAAAGAATTTCAGAGCTAGTTTTCTGTTCATCTGCGTTTCAAGCCAAAAATCTTTCAGAGTTTTAGCAGATTTCTTTTGTATATCCAGAAAGTTTGTCCTTTTGTTTGTCACTTCTAATGAAGTCCTTCAGAACCTTAACAGAGCTCTTTTGTATGTCCAGTTTTAAAAAAATAAAACTACCCAAATCAATTTCTTGGTTCAATATTTGTATATCTCCTTTCGGGAATAAGTCATCCATTGGTTCCATTTGTGTGCCCATATCTTTCTCCATATCTTCCTCATTACTTGTTACATTTAAGTCTCCCTTCAAAGTCATTTCAAAATCATCCGTTGCAACTTGTTTTTTAATTTCATTACAACATGCTCTGTCAATCTTGTAAAAAAAATTCATCTATTTTGTCAAGAAGCTTGGCAGCCAAATATCCCCAAGTTTGTATTATAGATTTCTGCTCTGTTTTCTTTATCCTCTAGCTCCCTCTAGTGTCCACCCTTCAAAATCCCCATATCATGAATAAACTCAATCACCATTTTTCCCACGGGAAAATTTCTTCTAGTTAATTCAAAGCTCTTTGTGGGTGTTTAAAATTATAATTTCAAGTCCATTTGAGCCCTCAATCCATTGTTAAACTTTCTAAAGTTCATATTCTGAGTACCCTTTTGCTGTTTAACCCAAAAAGTAATATTTTTCAAAAGTTTATAAAAATGGTATTTAAAAGTTCTTTCTCTATGGAGAAGGTGACTCACCTAGCAAATGCAATATAACTTGCCATTCTGAAGGGTTTTAATCCTTTTAAAGCAACAGGAAAGAAAAACAAAAACAAATCCAAGGTGATTAAGAAGCTTAATGTACATTAAAAAGGCCATGAGCAGAGATGGTCCTCCCCTCGCTCCCAGCCACTCAATCCATAGGCAGACCGCAAAACAACTGTTCCTGTGGTTTACTCACAAGGAGCAGCTGTGTGGAGTCATGTGGGCTACCTCAGAGACCTCTCCTTAATCCGGAGAGCATTTCAGCAGTCAGGATCCTCCATCCCACACCAATCTTCATTGTAACAAGCTGTCTTGCTGCAAAAAGGGAAAAAAGGGACGTGTAGCTCTCCGTGGCAACCAGAAGTGAAAGGAGAGATGTTCCCATCCCTCTTTCTTGTTCCATTTTTCCACACCTCTCTGCTAGCAATTTTCCATCCATGGTGGCGATAGGAAGGAAGATAGAAGCAGTATGGGTATTTCATAAATTAAAAAAAAGAAAAGGATTTAGAATTCCCCTGAGCCCTTCACCTGATTAAATTGATATGCAAGATAGACTGTTTAATAAGACATTTATCTCGGATATGAATCTTTGCTATAGTTGAAAGGAAGATAAAGATGAGCCATGTCAGAGGAAGCTTTCCTATGTTAAGAAGGGAGACTGAAAGAATCAATTTCAAGGCAGCTGTCAGTTCAGCAGTAATGTGATCTAAACGTAGATGTATGATACCATGGAGAAAAGCCCCAATGAATGAACAGTGGAAGAAAAAGGAGCAGCAATGTCATTTTCATGAATATTTACAGAATGCCCTCATCCAGGTTCTAATATGGAAAGTAATTCCATGATGATTTGATGGAAAAATAGTTCTGAAAGCTGAATTGAGTAAGGGTGATTTGAAGAGGAACACTCATGGAAATGAAAAGAATGAAGTATTACTTTCTTTGACATGATAATTTACCCTAAAAATGTCTCCATTTGTTAATGTGCATTTTTTAAATTAAAGCAACAACAACAAAGTTTCAAGTCATGTATTTTGGTGTTCCAGTATTGTATGAAAATGACATTCATAAATGCATCTCAATGAGAGCTCCAGATAATAGTCAAATGATTTATAAAAAAAATTATAGTGTTTTTTTTTTTAAATGACAGTGCATCTCTTTTCTCTCATAGGCAAATAACAAACCTGAAATTGAAGCAGCTCTTTTTCTGGATTGGATGAGACTTGAGCCACAGTCAATGGTATGGCTTCCAGTTTTACATAGAGTGGCAGCTGCTGAAACTGCCAAACATCAAGCTAAGTGCAACATCTGTAAAGAGTGTCCAATTATTGGATTCAGGTACAATGCTTTATTCATTAACACTTTCTAGATTACCAGTGGAACTATAACCATCACAATTTTGTCTTTTCTTTTCCCCCAAATAAGTGACATATTGAACTGAACAGAAATTGAACAAGCAAATTTATGAAAATTTCCTTCTTAATTTTAAAACTCTGTTTGGGCACATAAGACATATACACATATGTACATAATTAGGCTACCTTTGGCTACTTACAGTACAAATGAAACTGGCTCTGTTATTTTGAATGATGCCCAATTTATTACCAGTTGATGGATTGTAGAATGGATGTAACCTGATTTCATGGGTGTGCATCCAGTAAAATTCTTGATGCTGATTTTGAACGAGCTGCAGCTTCTGACTTTTTAAAGGTAGACCCTTAATCATTTTAAGTAATCAAAATGTTAGTTATTAATTCTATAGCCAGGTCTGACATTTTCAGGCACAGGCAGAATTGATGCATTAGCTGGACAAAGATGTTTATGACCATCCAGATAGAAATCTGACTACAGGACAACTCCAAAACAGTGAAATTGATTTTCCAAAGTGAGCAGGCTACATCTAAACACATCCCTGTAATAGTGAAATCCTGGTATTGACAACCAGTATGTCTGTCTGTGTTGGATTCAAGTAGAGTTATTAGTTGATATCCAGTCCATTACTGCCTTCAGGCACCCACAACTTCTTTGATACTAAATGAGAAAAAATAAGGCTGTATTTTTAATTTTGTTTAAAAATCCAAATATTGTCCCTCAGTAAGGTTTAAAAACATAAGATACTATCTTATAATGAGTCAAGGTATTATTTCTTTATGTCAAAATAAAGACTAGACTGACAGGCATTACTTCTGAAGGATTTTAGATTCTACTTTATCTGAATTTATCACTAAACACTGCCTGATTGCTAGGTAATACTGAAAATATGATTAAAATACTACAATAGGATACTAAAATACAACAATAGGATGGAAAAAAGCAGTTTAAGCTTGTTTAAATATGTAGGATAATAAGAAAAAAAATGCCTGGGTACTAAAGGACAAGAACATAAACGCTCCAAAATTGCAGTGAGAGAATATTTAAGAGATTTTAAAGAAGCCATATTTAAAAATGTTCTCTCTTTAGTGTATTACTATGTTGATAGGGGGGAGTAGTTAATGTGGATTTCCATTTCCCCGCTCCACAAGCTATGTAAGTCAATAAAAGTAAAGATTTTTAATATTCTGAGAAGCATTTGACAGCCGGTAATTTTATTTTGAGTGAAATGTAGTAATTTAAAGTCCGGCCAGTATTTTAGGGAATTAGCTATTCTTTCTGAGTGGGCTTCAAAAGTATGTCCTCGTATAGCTCATTACAGTGAATAATCCCAAAGGTTACCAGCATATGACTCTGCACAAGTATCTCTATCCAAGAACAGCTGCATTGGCTCAGCAGCTTAATGAAATATATCTTTATCGGCTATCCCTAATTAAAAAAGACAACAAAACCAAACCAGTTTAAGAGCTTTCATAGTTATTTTTCCATGTTCTGGACTTTTGTAAATGGATCTCTTTAGTTGATCTTCTACTGCTAATAAAAATGGTATCATATTAAGCTGTAATATGATATTATTCAGACTTATACCTAAAACACAATTTACTTATAAATTTGGAAATTGCATTTTTTTCTTCTCTTTCAGATACAGAAGCTTAAAGCACTTTAACTACGATATCTGCCAAAGCTGCTTCTTTTCTGGCCGAGTTGCAAAAGGTCATAAGATGCACTACCCAATGGTGGAATATTGTACACCAGTAAGTAATGATCACAGTGGCTACAATATAGAGACACCTTGTGTGAGATGGGCGGCTGTATAAATATGATAAATAAATAAATAGGTTGCTGAATAAAGCAAAATACTTACCTTTGTTTAAGTAAATTTGATTTTAGGTATTGTTCAGTAAGACCTGAATATTTCCAAAATATGCTTGCATCATAAAAGAACCCTCATCATATTATGGCCAAATTACTATCTAACACTGCATGCAATTGTGACATAATTAACCCATCATATAATGGTTGTGATATTGGTTGGATATGCTAGGTTTAGGAAAGAAATCATTGTTTAGAATGATTTCAGTGTTTGAAACATTGGCAACATTCAGCCTGGATTCTGCATTTTTAAAAATGGCTTAGGATCATAACTTTCATGCTTCAGATGAAAAGAAGTTAAAGGACATTTTAAACATTGCACTTTATACAGGCACACCACAAAGGATATACCTCACCTTATTAACATCAGCTATAATCTTCCAAATACAGCCTAAAAATAAAAATCAGAGTGGGACAAGCAATGTAACCTTTTATGCTGTCTTTTCCAGTTAGGCTAGCATAATGATGGTTCTGTTGTGCATATCCAAAAGAGGATGTGAAATTGGCATGTCTGAACAACTATTCATTCTTACAGCCAGGAAGAGAAAATTGTTCATTCCCATAATCTTAACGTCCATTTCTACTTTCTTCCATTCTGTAATTATATATTATTTCTACTTGCCTTTTCCTAGTAAGAAAAGACTATATTAAAAATTAATATAACTTATAAAATGGCATTTGTTCTGCATGTCTGTGTGTGAGTGAGTATGTGTGTGTGTGTGAATATAAGACCAGTGTGATATATTGATTAAGGTGCTGGTCTCAGAGTGGGGAAACCCAGATTCTAGACCTTCCTTAGGTACATGTTTTCTGAAATCCTTATATTGTGGGCTAATTTAGAATTTGCAGGACAGATACTGAAGCAGGACATAAAAATAGGCGCCAGTATCAAAACAAACAGTATCATGTTTATTTAAACTGTCCCTATTAATTACTTACAGCACCAGGGGCCCATCTTCCATCTGCCTTGGTGCCAGAGTGGTGAGGACGGTGTCTGGATTTTTTATTTTTGTTGGGCACGTTTTATAGTCCTACCACCTCTCTTTCCCCTTCCAATCCCAGAGTTGCTCAGCTTAGGCATCAGGAAAGGAAGGTTAGATATTCATGAGAATTAAATGTCTAGCAGGCACTGGGCACCTGCTATGACAAAAGAGGGACATAATTACTTTATTGGGGTTAGAGCTGTAAGTTTGTTACCTCACAGCCTGCAAGAGTAAATAGAGCTAGCTTGTCTAAGCAGCCTCTCTTCCAGGTATTAATTGAAAGATGCAGGTCAGTCATGGGACAGGACAGAAGTCAGCTGGGTGACTTTGTGCCAGTCATTTTCTTTCAGCCTAGATTGGGAAGTTGAAAATGTAGATTATGGCTCGTAGTCTTCATTTAAGAGGCCTTCATCCTGTAGTGGATTGATTCGGAATGGGGTGAGAGAGGGAGGGAAGGAAGGATTCTTTCCTGCTGTTAAAAAAATAACATAAATCTAATAAGCAGAATAGAAGTTTGTTATAGTCCTGTCACTATACGAATAGATATTCTTCTTCCTACTTGTTCTTCAAGTCTGCTCTTATCATGGCATAGCACTCTTCTGTTGTACATAAAGGGTATTATGCCTTACAGGTATTTTGTTTGCTTGCTTGCTTATCAGTTTATTCCCAATCTATTTACCACATATAGAATTATAGATTATCACAGATTTGACATGCTTGAATTTTGAACATTTCCATTACTATAATCTTGCAATCATGGATTTCTGCCTTTTGTAGAAGAAAAAATGACTAAAACCATAGAGGAAAACCTTAAATGTTCAACTAAATGTTTCTTCATATCCATCATGTTTGGGAGCATGTCTTGCAAATTATAAAAGATATATTTGGTAATAAACTGTAAATCGCTAGATTGTGAGACACTTCCAGTATGGACTGTAGAGTTGAATTTTGTGACTCTATAAACTGGCTAGAGCCTGGTTCGTTTAAAAAGTGGCAAAAGAAACAAATGATTAAAAAATGTTTCCAAAAAACCCTAATAAAATTCTATTGCTGAAATATTGCTTTCAGACTACTTCAGGAGAAGATGTCCGTGACTTTGCCAAGGTATTAAAAAATAAATTCCGAACAAAAAGATATTTTGCAAAACATCCGAGAATGGGTTATTTGCCTGTACAAACAGTGCTGGAGGGAGACAACATGGAAACGTGAGTAAAGCAAATTAATCGTATCTCATTTGATAGGTTCTCAGCTTCCCAACTGGCACTGCTCCCTGTATTTCCTGACTACATAACACCTTTTTCATTTCTTTCATATTTCTTTATTTTGGTTGAAAGGAAAACGCAAGCTGACATCTCAGTTGCTATTCTCTTTGCTTTTTCTCCCCTCCAAACCCTACAGTAATTTAAATAGTTAGCAAAAGAAAAATATACATTGTCTTAACGATTGCTTGAAAATTCTTCCAAATAGCTCTAATTTATAGTTGAGTGCGTGGAAATGAAAATGCACTTTTTTCCTCTGGATATGGAGAAAATTTTAATACTTAAATTTAAACCCACAAGCCTGCCCACCACAATCCTGTAAAGATTAATTAAAAAAAAATCTGCTAGTTACTAAAACTTGTTTTAATGGGAATTGCACTGCAGCTTGCTATCTTTCTATTTTTCTCTTTAATATTTCCTTTCTCATTTTTTTGGCTGCTTTCATGGACATTCATGTTAGTCTACTGGATTTTCTTGGTTTTGGGTTTTGTTTTTGTTTTGTTTTTTTAACTTTCTGTAATTATTTTGCTGCTAAGTTTTTTCTGCCTCTCTCTTCACCTCCTCATTTTTTGTCTTGCAGTCCTGTTACTCTGATCAACTTCTGGCCAGTAGATTCTGCGTGAGTACTTTTGCCAAAGTGTGCTGCTATTGCTGCTGCTGTTGCATTCCCTCAATTTTGTTTTTAGTTTCTGTTCATTTTTTCTTTTTTTCTTTTTTTTTTACCATATGTCCATTTCCATCTTCCGTTTCCCTCTTATTAATGTTTCTGATGGGGAAAAAGACAAGTCCATTTCAAGTCAGTAGAAATAACAGGCTTTAATGTATTTCACAAAATTGTGTATGCAGTATGTATGTATATATGAATATATATATTCATATTCTCAGATGCTGATTTTGATGTCATACATGTTATTTTTACTTTGGAGCTTAATGTATATAAGTCACTAAGATTTGAGTTCCACAGTCGTCTTTCTTTATCTGGAAATGTGAAATGCTTGAATTTTGGGGTAGGACTAAGCACTTTTGGTTGTGAAACTGGCAACTCTGAGATGTGATTATACATTTTGAAAAACACCACAAAGGCTTTATTGAGTATATAATTAGATATGCATATCACATAGTAGGCCTATAGAAATACATAGAATTTAGGCTACACATTAAGTAGGTTTTTCTCTTAACTATGACTGATGAACCAGATGTGCAACCCTATTTATGCACGAAATGAGTTTGAAGTGGACAACGTTTGTTCACATGTTTGTTTCTGTATCCCCTAAACTGTTATGGGCTTGACTAAATAACAGCAAAGAGCAGTTACTGAAAACAAGCATTCTTATTAACTCTCTTCTGTCTAACATTAACAAGACCTGTATTGTTCACAAAAGAATTATGTTCATGTGTAAATCTCGTTGGTAACAGTAAGCTAGAATTGCTTACTATCAGTTGAATTATGTTGAGCTTCAGGAGAAAATGGCTATTTTTTTTTAACCTTTATTAAGTAAGTAATGGAGGATATGAAATAACTATATATTTTAGACAAGAATAGGTGTCGATATCGAATGATAATAGAACTAAGATTGCTTTAAAATATTTGTTTATGCTAGTTAATTCATATGTCTGCCAAACATTAGCCAAAAGGAAGCCTAAAATTAATTTACAAATAGTACTAAAATTTGTATGGTGTCTGATATTTGGTTTGCAAATAATACTTATTAAAATGAGCAGTATTAAAATTATACTGTTTAATATAATTTATTAAATTATGCTAAATATACTAAAGTAATGTTATGCATAGGTTACTGTGAAGACTAACTGCACCTGATTAAGAGGCTAATAAATATCCTCTTTGTTGCTTTGTATCTAAAGTTCTGGATTGAATTAATGTTGGTGGTATCTAAAACTACATTATTGTATCTGCAACATGTTTCTTGCTGTATGTTCACCAATATAAGGGACATAAAAATTAGTTTTGACTGGCCTTACTAATCAGACCTAAACTATGGGTGTCAGGACTAGGTCCACCCCATTCAATAATATTCCACAATATTTCCTTACAAGAATTTCAGCAGTCAATAATACAGTACTTCCACAGTATTCCTCCTCAATCTTGACTTTAGGAAAGAGGCATGGGTTATCTTGAAATTGCATACATGATCCCCATCCATTCCTTTAACTCTAAGGAAGGTTGTCTGTCATGTTTGCCCCGGGCCATGCTTCCCATGATAACTCAAATGGATAATCTAATATCACACTTTTTAAAATTAACACCATAAATTCTTGAATGCCGCCTAATTTCGTGATAGACACTTAGTTTTGCCCATTGCTTATAATAGTTCATACTATTTTTAGTATGGTTTGTAATCTAGAGTCTGTAAAGTTTTAGAGTCAGTGATAATTAATTGAGCATGAAATTCAAAATAGTGCTAAGCTTCAAAATATTATTTCATTCAGTTGACAATTAGGCAGATGCTGCTCTAAGCCTGGGAGACAGTCAAGAGAGTAAGGCTTTCATATAGCAAAGCCTAGATGATAAACTGGAATTCATGAAGTGCTCTATTGACAAAACAAGTTACCATTAAAGAAGGTTAAAAAAACAAAACCTGAGAAATGAGCATAGCGCTGTAATGTGTGATACAGCAAATCTTATGTAAACATTTGGAAAATGAGGCATGCAATAAAACAAGCTTAACACTGTGCATCTCTTAGTACAAATGGCTTATATCATTTGCTGGTATTTTTCAGAACTGTTTTCACCATACAGCCATTAATGGAACACTTGGTTCCTATTATTATTAAAATTGCAACTCTCTTTTAAAACATAATATTGCTATCATACAATAGATTTTATCATTCCACCTCTCTGTGTAAACAGAGGCTTCTCCATATCCAGTTATATCTTTGCCAGAGTCCTTTTGGAATTTCATAAAGTGGTATGAGTTCCTTCTGACCACTGTATCACATCTTCAGTACACAGGCAACCGTCATACTTGGCATTATTTCTCTCCTTCTTGCCTAGTCAGGATTTGTCATTTTAGAATAGGACTCTGTTTTCATTTATAATCTCCATAGCATTTCAACAAATGGAGATATCTTCCAGAGTTTCTCCTTTGCTTGCTGGCCCTTGCAGAATTGTTTTGTGGATTAATAGTGTTCTTAAGATTTGGAGTATAAAACAGAGTGTATAAAAGTCCGTAAGAATTATTCTTTTCTCTTGACAAATATGTCCTAGAAGGAACATCAGGAATTGGTAAATATTCGCTTAGTCTATACATCAATTATAATCAATGTTTCTATAAAATTACTAGCCCTCTTTGGATTCTTGTAAGAGCAGCATATACAAATTCGTAAGTTCTTTTTTTTTTTTTTAACCTGTTTTCACTGTTTTTCCATAAATTAGTTCATGGAGTCTCGTGCATCCAATTCTATTGCCAGTATTTTTGTTCAATACTCATTAATGTTTTGGAAATACATATAACAACAAGCCTTCTTGCAGCAATATAGTTCTCAATCTTGAAACAGAAGTACATCTGATAGTTCTTTCACATTGAAGTTCTTCCAGAATCATGTTTTTAATTTTGATTTCACCTCTTTAGTATTCGCTGTCTTGAGCTAATTGCTGGCTCAATAGTGATATCGTACAGTAGTTTTATATTTAGAAATGTTTGTTATCTCCTTTCATGTCTTTGCTAGATGTGGCTAGTCCAAAGTACTTAGAGAAGGCATTTGAACTTCTGTTTAGTTGAAATCGTTTTTATCCATTGAACAGCTACAGTATGTCTTAGAACAAATTTGCATTTTCTTTTATTAATTTCAGTTTCTCTCCCAATATCATCTAGACCTCATTCTAGTCAATCATTGTATTCTTTTATGTCTGGTTGTAGCCTTCATCATCTCTGTTAATGTCTGACTTCATCTGTTGGATCATCTCCTTTGTTTACCTCTGAAGCAATAATCTTGTCAATCTGTACCAAATCTTTTGCCCTCTAGCTAAAACTGCAGAAAATCTTCTACTGACGTGAGGCTGTAAATAGAGTTATTCCTGCTAATATGCTGTTTTTTTTATTCTACAGTGAGCAATTGAAAATTGTTCATATTTGGGCTCTTGAGAGTTGTATCCTCAACAGCTATTAATTTGATCCACGCTGTAGGTCAGGATTGGGGAACCTGTGCCCCCCCACCCCACTCCGTCTGAAACTGATGAATTACATCTTCCAGCATCCCTTATCTTTGGCCATGCTGGCTGGGACTGTGAGAGTTGTAGTTCAGCAACATATGGAGGGCTACTGGTTCCTCATCCCTGCTGTAGATTCTTCTACATTGACTCTCACATTATATTCTTGTTTATTTTATTTTATCCCCTAGTGGCACTGGAATTTTCTCAGATGCATGAATTACAGGTGGTACTTGTGGATTCATTTTCATGGAATATTACTCTGGTAAGAAAACTAGGCCTTAAAACAAATTTTGTAATTTGTATCATCATCCCACTGATCTTCTTGACCTATTTCTATTAAGTTACCATTTTTATTTTTGTTTATTTGTTAGATTTATATCCTGCCTTGTAGATTTATATTCAGCTCAGAGTGATGTGTTTGTGCCAAATTTAAATTAATAATGAAAAGATCCAGTTTCAACATTGGATTGTGCTCTTATTAATATTTTAACTGGAGTTCAGAGTATCTTTACAAGATTGTGTAGTTATTTTAATTATTTTTAAAAGACGCCTTCATTGTCATTTCTTGGATTTTTTTTCCTCTTACTTTTCAGTCCAGCATACAGGTTCCATCCAAGCCCTACTTAGGCCCATTCCTGATTAGCTTCAGGGACCAAACAGCCTGCCAGGTGTTGCCCTTTGTTTAATAAAGGGATTTGTCTTGCAGTTCTTTTCAAGTATACTTCAAGTTCTTAATTGTCTATCCCAATCAAATTTAAATGTTCAGTATTTCATCATGCTTCCAAAAAATAACATCACACTATTTTGTTTATTTATCTATTATAAACTTTATAACCATATTGGAAAAATTCTAGGCAGTTTTCAGTCAAAAACATACCATGTTGTAAGAAATCCTATGCCTATTACCATAAAAACTGTTCCATATAAATAATCAAAGGTAAACTAAAATCAGAGATAAAACTTAAAATCAACTTCTAACATCCCTACCTCAAGGGCAAGGCAGATGAGCAATTCAGTCACCCAAAGCCTGGCAGAATGCTACAATTTTGCTGTAGTGCCTTCCTAAAAACAACATTATAGAGGTAGTCTTAGGGAGTCTCTTCCAAAAGGACTAATCAACACAAAGAAGGCCTTTTCCCACATTGTCTTCATTGTCTTGCTGGAGTAGATAGGAAATTATGCTGAGAATGATACATATAGTACTGCATACAGTGTAGCAGCCCTTTACCCAAACTCCCTAGACATACCTTTTTTGTTTAGAGATTTGGATACTTTATATCTTGCACTGTTTCTATATGATATGTTAGTCTGAACTTATGGCCCATGTTATGCAGTGTCTTATATATGATTTACATAAATGATTCATTCCCAAAATCACTAAATTAGACCAACAGCTAATTGGTTACACACACTGGACCACATTTTGTTTACTGTACTTGGAATTTAAA